ATATATATATATATATATATATATATATATATATATATATATATAATATATATGGGTTAAATTTAAAACCTTTGAATTTAGTTGTCTATTATTAATTCAAATTAATTACAAGGATGCAATATAATAATTAATAAAACATGAGGGGTTAATATTCAAATTTATAAAACTCTTATTATAAATAATATTAAAATATTAAAATCCATTAAATAATAATAAATATTCAAATTTAAAATATGATTAAATAATATTTATCCATACACATTTAAACAATATTTAATTTTCCAGATCTAATCCAATTAGGTATTTATCCATGCAAGATAAAGCTTGAATTCGAAAAATAAGCAAGATAAAAATCGATAATGCTAATCTGCTAAGTTCACGTCGTGAACTACTGTTTCACATCGTGAATTAGGGTTTTCATCAAATTACGAATTTTTCAATTAAACTTTCATCATTCAGTTCCAAAACAATATTTTTAGAAAACATGGATGTAGGGTGAAGGTAACCATGAACCTGGCTCTGATACCACTGTTGTGTAATATATGCATCAAATACACTCAATAACTAGGCAGCGAAGGAATCGAAACAACAAAACGATTTACCTAAGTGTACATGCAACCTATGGATCTATGACTTCATACTATTACTTCTACCCTATGAAATCCGAAAATACAAGGAGAAATACTAACTTCTTTAGTAGCTAATGACCTTCGAGCTTGACTCCTTGTGCGTGCCACTTTGTTTGGATGATGAGGATCCAAACTAGAATCCCTCTCTTGGTTCACACCCAATGAACTCAAAAGAGTAGAAACAAATATTAAACTAGAGGGATGAACTAAAAGAAAGTTCTTCCACAATGAAGGAAAAAGAAGGTGGCGAATACTCAAGCCAAAAATGAGCAACGAGGAATGAATCCCTATGCCCCTATTTATAGCCTTGGATACCTCCTATGGTTTTATCCTTCCACCCATGCGGGATGGGAAAGGCTATGAACGGAATTCCCTTTATCCACAGGGAACTTTCGTCCAACCCCTTCCTTCTAGAGTTTTGGAATGTTCACTGATTAACCAACCATTGATTAACTCACATTCAACCCTTCTATTAATTAAACTGTTAATTAATTCCCAAATTGTTTTCTAATTAGTTTCTAATTAATTATTAAACCATAATAATTAATAAACTAATTACTCCTATTATTTGTTCCACTCAATTTTGAGTCTTGAGGGCAAACCCAAGAGGACCCTGCTATTATTAGAAATATCACCAACCAGTTAATGACCTTGGACACACTTCCAACAACTACAACTACTGTATTTACTGTAATGTTATCTAGTTTTGTTGATAAGTTAGACTGTCTGATGACTTGGTTGTTCTGGAAATCCGATGCGACAATACTACCCTCCTATGATTACCTAATACATACAAGTTGTATATAACCGAGATCGAACAGACAGTTAAATGGGTGAATCTACCCTAAGCCCACAACCAAACAAGGAACAGGAAGTAAGACGGAAATCACACATTTCACTGTCTATCAGACTTCAGTTTTATCTAACCCTAAAGTATACAATGGGTAATCCCATAGCTAGTATCCCTTGAGACTGTTCATGAAAAGTATATTACTACGTAAATATATCATTGTTATCTACTTGTGAGTTTTATGACCATACTAATTGGACCGGTTAAACACGACGTTCTGTAGGCATCGAAAAATAATATGACATTTGTCCCCCGTAGACCTGCCGTTCCTACTGTAGCTAACAGCAAGGTGCGGGATTGTTAATCCCATATAGATCTATACACAAACTCATGCTCTCCCTCCAAGAGACTCTGGTCATAAGGGTAGACTTCCACTGGTACTTATGTATGTAGTCGAAGATGTGTCTCCCAAACTAGAATAATGACTTTACAAGTAATAATGTGAAACCCTTTTTATAAATAACAGATAAGTTTATAAAAAGATCCTTTTGTTCCTTAAGCTATACTTATTAAAGTTTATAAGCTTATTTCCATGTTCTAAAAATTTTCATGTTTTAAATACAGTTCATTGGTACAAAGACATAAGAAGCAATTTATATTTTAAAACACAACATTTCTTGTGTTTTACTTGTATTCCCCCCCCCCCCCCCCCCCCACAAAACAATTAAAATGTTTGGAAAGATATGGGGGTATGAACTCACCTTATGTGAGTGATTCGATTGAAGACTGGAGTAAGGTTGTTATACTCACGAACGAAGTCTCGTAGCACATAAGAGTCCTAAATAATATATAATGATACATATAGGCATGAAATTAGTGAATCTAACCACAAAGGTGTTTGGAAATCAACCTAGAATGCAAGAATAACTCACCAAAAGAGTGTTGGAAGCAACTTAGGAGGCTGAAATGGAGTTCACGACCCAAGAACACTTGAGTGTTCATGGCCCAAACATGAAGGGTGCACAACCCTGATGAAGGTTCACGGCCCAAGATGTGAAGAAAAGAGTGTTCTTGAGGATGATACTTGAGAGAGAATAGAAGAGATCATGTCCAGAAGAAGAAAAATGAAAGAAAAATTAAGTAAACTCACTACTAGAAAAACAGTCTTTTACGACGCTCATTATGCGTCGTAAAAGGCTCAGACAACGCGCAAATGCGCGTCAAGGAAGGCCTTGTCATAAAGAGAGACGACGCGCATTTACGACGCTCATTTACGACGCGCAATTACGATGTGCGTTTACGACACGCAATGCGTATCAAGGAAGGCCCTGTCATAAAGGAAGACGACACGCATTTGTGTGTCATAACCTTACGACACGTGTGTTAATGAAACGCAATGCGTATCAAGAAAGCCCCTGTCAAGAAAGACCATGTCATAAATGAAGATGACACATAGTTTTGTGTATCATAATTTTAAATGTTTACAAAAATATTATTTATAGATTTACTAATTTTCAAATTAAATAATACATTACAAATCTCATAATACAAAATAAAATACAATAAATAACAAAGATAATTAATTTCACTAATAGGTAAAATACAAATAATTATTCCAAAAGTGAGTAAATGTTATAAAAAAAATGAACTCATTTATATACAATTGCATCATCTAGCTTACTATGTGCCAACAACTCTCTATGTGTTTACTTTTGCTTGAGTCTCGTTTCAAGATCCAAAATCACCTTCAATCACCCAATTAAACTCTAGATATTCTGTTGTTTGAAAGAAATTGGTGTTTGTAATCTATGAACAAAAAACGCAAAGACCAAGGTTAACATTTGCTATATAGAAAGCAACTGGACATATGAATATATAATACGCAACATAAACATTTTCATGAAAATGATATAGACAAATAAGTAAGAGTGATGATATTGATACCTTATTTACACCATTGGAGAATGAAATTTTAATTGGTTGATAGCAATACTTGACCTCTGAAAACAAATAAACAAAGGATCACATCATAATTAGCTTAATGAAGTAATTCTTATACATTGTCTCTACCAAAAGATTCATCATGGAAACATTTTTGTTGGAAATAACTAAACAAAAACCTAAATACTAGGCAAAAAAATTATAGTAATCACCATTTAGAGCAAGATGAGGAGTCCGATCAGGCCATATGAGACCATTTAAGCAGAAATTTAAGTCATTTGGTGTATCTCCAAAGTCACCACCATATGCCCAGTATTTGCTACCATCTGCATTTTCCTTGAGTAACCCCTAAAACCAGATGCTAATATTTAGAACTACCCTTTCACCACATTTACAATTTTATAAAATTTAAGAGATGAGTTTCAATCCTGGTCAACCCAATCCCAAATAAACCCTCCTTGCAGACCAAATTTGGTAGATCAATGCTGATTGGGTGGAAGAAATAAGCTGTAATGGATAAAAGAAACAAAAAAAAATGAACTGCTAACAGCTTACAGAATCTCATGATAAAAATGAACCCCTTCTATTTCGGAATCTTCTGACTCTGATGAAGCTTCCAATATACACTAGGAGCAGAAGCATGCATGAAAAGAGTTCAAAAAAAATATGGTATAGGAAAACAATACTGGTAAAAGACATTGTTGTGCACCATTATCATGTATAAGGTAAACTTAATCACATAAATAGCTATCAATCAAACAGAGCCACAAGTGTTTACCGATAAATTAATTCCCCCCTGCAACAGTTTGTCTTTGATTCCTCTGATTCACATAACATGATAACTCAGCAACAAACTCATGAGCTTCAGTAAGTTTTGAAGCATAATTATGTTTCATGTGAAGTACACCCCCTGGTCATCTTCCTTGTATCCAATAACGAATGTCATTCAGTTGTTTCCAGTCCTCATCAGTGAATTGCAAAGCTTGATTTCATCTTCCATTAAACCACACAGTGAAAAAATATTTCTCATTGAGAGAAAACTAATCAGCCCCACCTTGAGCTTCACTGATCCAAGGAAACCTTCCTAAGCCTTTACACGCAAATTCAGTTGCCTCTGGCTTCAATTGTTTGTGTATACTCTTTTGACCTCCAAACCCTCTATCAGTCGAAGTGTATAAACTTTACACACTTCTTTCCCGACTTGAAAGAATCATAGTTTTAGAATAGGAACAACAAGTTTGAACCTCAGAAGAAAAGTTAATCAGAAAAGAAAGGCTTCCATATCTAATGCACGAGCAGCAAAATGACAGGAAACCAAATTTGCAATAATTATAATTTCCTATTGAGATAGATTGTTACAGAATGGAGTTATAATACTATAAACCTTTATCAGCCACAACATTTATCATCAATTACTGTAAATGAAATATATCCACAAGGCGAATTCCAACAATATCAAATGCTTCCTGTTCAAACATTTCTTTAAAAATAAATCATTTCTCATTAGAAATATATAGTATCAGCTCCCGAGGCTTAATTAAAAAACCTAACATGATTTATGGAATAAACCACTTTTAATGACAAATCATTTCTCATTCAAGAAATAGTACCTGTAGGACCTATTTGGAGAGACATTGGGAATTCAGCCATTTCGACTCACTTTGTGCTACTAGTTCAATATCCTATATACACATAAACAAATGTTATTATTAATTATAATTCATAAATTCAAGTATTGGAATATCTTTTGCTTACCTTCACGATCTCTAGTTTACCAAGCTGAATGGCTAGTTCAAATCTACAATCAGGATTTGTAGCAACTTCTAAGCTTCATCAATCATTCCACGTGACTCCAAGAAATGAGCAAAACTATCGACAAAAAAAATATTCATATATTAAATTTATTTGGTTTATCTCAATCAAAATACAATGATACAAAGTAAGTTGCCATTATCAGACTATTATTGATCATTGATATTTTGACAAGATTGAGAAAAAGAGACATGCACTGCATTAAGGGGGACATGCCCTAAAGAAACAGTTGCCACAACAGCAAGAATTCATCCGATATACTACTATGCTATTCAGACTTGTTATTCAAGAAAAGGAAAACAAAAGAGTCGAATTTTAAAAATATAAAGATAGGGTTTTCGATTGATTGTTCAGAGAGATGTGTGGTGTGAAAGATATATAAATACATAGAAATTGAAGTGGGTAGGATATAAAAATGAAATGAAACCTTTTTGATATACTAAAGATGATCAGAACTCAGACAAGTTCACACACAATTCTACATAAATAGATTTGACCTAAATGTTAAAATAGTCTGTATATTACAGTTTCTTGCCGTTTTTTTTTTAATATAAAAATTCTGATTGTTTTGTAGCTAAGTAACCAAAAACACCAAAATCAATCACTTTTACCCAAATGCTCAGAAGTCAAAACGGATTTAATGTTACGAACAGTTGCAAAAGCATGATTAAATGGACATCACACATTAATTCTAGAGGAAGATTGTTAGATTGGATAAGCAATTAAGATTGCTAGATTGGATGTTCACCTTTCGCTAGAGGAAACCCAATAACAAGCATGAGTGCCATCATCATCAGCCACAGGAACCTCTAAATATTTGCTCACGTCTCTCCATAAACCTAAAACAACCCAGTAACAAGCATGAGTGCCATTAGAATCAATAGCAACTATTGATAATAGGATTGAAAAAACGCATATAGTCTTCAAGATTATCAGATGCTTCTACCAGCTCCAACTCTCCATCCTCATAACAAAGAGACTCAGGCTCTGGACTCAAACTAGTCTTTTTGACCTAAAAAAATATCCAAATTTTCTAAATGTCAATAAATTCAATCATAAAGAAGAATATGGTAATAGTTGTAGATCAAAAATAGGAAAGCATACAAGGATTCCTTCAAGATCCTGAGCAGAGTACGCATTCAAAAGCAAGAATATACAAACCATAATTTTTTTTGATAAAAGGGGAAAACCCCTTGGCAAAATATATTAAAAAAGAAAAAACATTACAAAGAGAAGAGGGCCACCGCCCCAAAAAAACTAGCTACAACCCAAACTAAACAACTAACTAGAAACAACAAAGAAAAAATACAAAAATCTATCTAATCTCCGCCAACCCATCCACTTCCAAGTCCAATTCCACTACAACAAGTGAAACCAAACATAGCTACTAAAATAAAAACCAATGATATCAAAAACAAAGCTCTTTCGTCTAGAACAATCTTCAAAGACATCAATCTTTAAGAAGCTCTTAAACCTCCACATTCCAGAAACCAAAACCCACCAACCTTCAAAGAAATCCCAAAAACACCAAAACACATTAAAAAGAATCAAACCCCTCACTAACCAGAAATTGAAGCTAATCATCATTAATTACATGATCCATGTTGGTATCCAGCCCCGTGATACTATCGGTAGATTCCACTTGATTCATAAAATTTTTATTAGCAAATTTATCCAATCCAAATTCTTCATACAAAGCTTCCTCACTTTCTTCATTGCAAGAATCTTGAAGAACTCCAAAAGAATTGCTAACATGTAAATTAATCGGAGCCACACCCTTAACATTTTGGTGGAACTTATCAAAATTTGAGTTAGCTTTAAAATCCCCTCCAGATTTTGGAACATAGCTCTGCGTAAAAACAATTTTATTGCCCACTTCCTCTTTTTTCAAATAATCCTGCTTAATTCCTTTATCACTAGAACTTCCTAAATTACCCTCAGGATATAAAGAACCCCCAGAACCTCTTCCCTTTTTATCATAACCTTTAGAATTACTACTTTGCCCTTTATCAACCAAATGAATTCCTTTTTTACCATTAAAATCAGAATTCTTCCCATTATACCCCTGCTCTTTTTTGCTACTAGCTTTCCCTCCTTGAACAGATCTGTTTTTCGACAAAATAGAGTTATTCCCATAATACCCCTTAACGCTATTTCCAGAAAACACTCCAAAATTTTTATTTTTTGGATTATTCCCATTTTGCCCCTGTATGCGATTACCAGCCTCAGCCCCTAATCTTTCATTTTTCGAATTATTACCACACTGCCCCTGGATCGCAAATTTTTTCCTCTCCCCTACAGCTGAATTAGAGCTGACTTTTGACTTATTACCTTTGTTTTTCTTCACCACAGTTTCAAAACCATCATTCTTATCCTTGACTTCTTTAGTGCTAGCCAAAAGAACTTGCATAAGATCAATAGAAACGCCTTCTTTACCTTTTTCTATTTTGCTTTTCTCCTCTTCTTCTTTCTTTTGATTAGCAATTAAAATTCCACAGTTAGAGTCCTTATGACCAGAAACTTTACAATGAGAACACTTTGAAGGATTCCAAGCATATTCGACTTTACATATGGAAATAATCCTTTCAAGGTGAAGAGTAGTTTGAATCACCGACCTCTCAGAAGTCCCCTGCTGCTGCTCTTCTCTGTTCTGATAAGTTGGCATGGGGATGGGGGGAGGTCCACCTATGGAACCACCATAAACAAAGCCAGGCAATACCATTTTCTTTGTCCCCTAATTTCCATAATTATTAAATGAAGCTGAAGCAGCATCACAGTGACGAAGTAGGGCAGAAGAGGTAGAAGAACGATTGTAAAACCTAAAGGATCAACATTAAAGACCTAAAAAAATCTAAAATTGAGTTCTAAAATAGATATGATTTCAAAAGACAGAAGAAAATGGATGGGCTGAGGGTTGTAGGCATCGAGAAGCACTTCGAAACAAAAAAAAAAAAAAACAAAAATACCTTAAATCTATAATTGTCTTACCCAGGTGTAAGAAGTCGGAGGGGTGACTCAGTGGACTGGTGTCACCCTTATTCGCATCATCATCACACCATGAGCAGCCCTAAAAAACCAAAAAAAAAAAAAATACTAAATTAGCAGACTAAGAAAAAATAACATCAACAAATGTTGTACCTGGGATTCAAAAACACAAATCCAATGTTTCGTTCTTTAATCTTGTGGTATAATGGGGCTTTATTGGTGGCAGTGGTGAACCAGAGAGAAGACGAGGGGTGGTGGGTGCCTAGTTTGTTATCGAACAGTAGGGGTAGAGAGAGAGATAGAGAGAGAGAGAGAGAGAGACTTTTAGTTGGTCGTGTATTACCTGCATCAAATTGAAATTAAGGGAATGTTGATTTTATAAGATGACTTTGAAATCACAATATGTATATGGATGTCCACAAATTTGTTGCTAAAACATGGAGAATCGACCTAGGTTTTCCCTGACTTATGTTCGAAAAACCATTTGTTGTGGTTAATGGAAGAGAGAGAGAGAGAGAGAGAGAGAGAGAGAGAGATTTGTTATAGATAGGGCGGAGGCGGTGAATAAGATGTTTGATGATACTGATAAGAAGGAGATCGAGTAGAGATCCGATGAACGAGGTGTTTGATGATACTGAAGATGAAGATGAAGGACCTAGGGCTTTTTCTTGCTAAGTAGAAGAGGCGGGGGGATTAATTTTTGGGATTCAATAGGCAGGGTTAATTTTCGTGGATTTCATTTCCCGCCTAAAACGCGTGTTTCACTTAAAAATTATAAAGCGACACATTTACATGACGCGCATTTTATGAAAGGCGCCCTCCGCATTTCTTTTTTTTCTTTTCTGACACTAATTTTAGGGCGCGCACAAATGCGTGCCCTCTATCCTTCAAATTTTGCAAAATTGACATTATCTTTTAGGGCACTTACAAATGCACGTTGTCTATCAGCGAGTGTCATTGTTTGCGCGTCATTAAAGGGCTGTTTTCTTGTAGTGACTCATATATATACATAGAGTTCATAGCCTAAGGAGGGTTCATAGTCCGAGGTTCACGGCTCGGAGTTCACGGATTCGGAGTTCATGGCTTCGGAGTTCACGGCTGCGAGGGTTTTATGGTCCATGCGAGGGTTCTCGGTTCCTAAGGCTTTTCTCTCCCAACTATAATACACTAGTTACAAGGCTTCAATACTATAATCCAATAATCCATCTAATTTAAGATAATGGAAGGAATAAGTTTGACCATGTTATCTTCCTACTACCCGCTATATAGAACCTATGGAATCTCCCCGTTTCGAGTATAGGTCCTCTGCTTTCAGTAGTATGGACCCATACTACCTGCCACATCTACACATACTTTCCACATGGATTGTCCCAGATTTTCTAAGTAGCTGCTCAACCTTCTTGATCACCAATCCCATCACACATGATCACTCTCCAACAAATACTCTCCTCTATCAGCGTACTTATCTGACTAAGGTATCCTCCTAAGCTCTTCCTAGATTCTCACACTTCTCTTCCATCAGCTGTTGAAGAACTCCCCATGATGCCAACTATCTACCTCCTGAATATCGTTATATTCACTTAGTAGTTGTCTCCCATCATCAAGAGTTCCAAAAATCACAAAGCAAGAAGCATTCAGGCATAGAATCATCTCCACTAACACATAAAACCCCTCCAGCACACAAATCCACTCTCTCTATCTACGACTCAAAAAGGCATTACCGAACTCATGCAACCCTACCTCTCGTGGGTATCTCACTACTCTCTCAATAGATTCCTCAAATGCACATCTAGGTATCTCTCCTAGATTACTGCTTTACTCAAGCTCTCTTTAAAAGATTCTTGCTAGGTACTCTTACTCAACACATACGCAGAGAAAATAGTAGATAATGTCAATCAATAGCATTCCCTAGGCTAAGGCAACACAAATCGAGAAACTATAGCCCTAAGATATGAAATAACTAGCCTATCCTCTAGCATGCATCCCTAATATCTCATGAATATCTCATAACACAAATAAGTAAGGGTATTTTGGGAAATCACCGTTCAGGCTCTGGCTGATTGTATACACTGCTCCAACTTGTTTTTCTCTTAAAACTCTTTCTCATTTAAAAAATCATTTCTTTTGAATTTTTTTCTCAAATCCTCAGTTTGAGTCCAGACACACCCGAAGGTACATCCGAATCCATCAAACCAAGGCTCTGATACCAACTTGTAACAATGTAGATTTTCAAACCAAAATTTTCATTTTTAAAACACATAAAAACTCATAATATATTTCTCAAAAACATAATTGTTTCAAGTCTCAACACAAATCCACATAAAAATGTCACTATCCCAGAATCATCCACATAGTCACGAATTGGTGTGTACAATCAAGCCGATGCCTTCCCGTGATCCTGAGAAGTACCTGAAACACATATCACACAACATGGTAAGCATAAATCTTAGTGATTTCCCCAAAATACCACATACACTAATAATAAGCATCTCATGGCTATAACTCGACATGGACCCTTCGGTCTCATGCGTCTCGGTGAATACCCTCCAGTCTCATGAATCAATGTGGACCCTCCGGTCATGTGTCTCAGTGAGGACCCTCCGGCCTCACAGCTCGGGTTGGACCCTCCAATCCTATATCTCAGTGAAGACCCTCCAGTCTCACAACTCAGTTTGGACCCTCCGGTCCGATCTCGATAAAACACATAATAACATAACATATATCACAAAGACAGAATTGCATAATATCACATAAATCAATATGAGCACATAGGACCCTCCGGTCGATAACTCAAATAAGACCCTCTGGTCATTCGGTATTACCACTCAGGTAAGTATAGTGAGAAAACTCACCTCGTAAGCAAAGCAAGGAAACTAGATACCCCTCGCATAGCCTAATCTCCGCCTACACGCAATAAGCATCTCTAATTAACACTTAAAGATTACAACATTATATAACTCATGCTATTCTATCTCTAACTCTTGGTATGGGTAAAAGACCATTTTACCCCTCCATAGCCCCCATAATCCCTGCCTTGACCAAATCCTAAAGTCAACAAAAGTCAACTGTCCATGTTGACCCGACTCGCCGAGTGCACCTATGAGACTCGTCGAGTTCCTATTGTTCCTTATAACATCGTGAAAACCCCAACTTAACTCATCGAGTTTTCTTATCAACTCGTCGAGTTACACTTGTCCAGACTCATCGGGGGAAAACCCTAACTCACTCGTCGAGTCGGCTCATTGAATTGGCGATTCCGCTCAATTTGTATTCTCATTCAGACGTTTTAAGGCAGATCTACCACTCCAAACTGTAATTCTAGTCTCCCAAGGCTTGATTGTTATGTAAAGCTTCGATCTTTACGTTCATGCACGACATATTTTCTCCATAGTGCCAATACAAGCTCTAACAAGGGTTTGGTGCTCATAGGATTTCCTCTAGCTCTTGGGTCTTTGGGCTCACAAGACCTCCTACTACCCAAATTTGAGGTTTTAACCTCAAGATATGCTCAAGGGACTCAATAACACAAGAAGGATGGGGAAAAAGCCCTAGAACTCCCCAAACTAAGATCTCACAAGGAAAAATGATCAATACATCATCTTTTTTTACCTCAAACAGAAGCTATCCATTAAGAATCTCTAGATCCAAACGCCCTTCTTTTCTCCAATCCTTGATGCTTTCCTCTTCTTCTCTCAAGGTGCACCAAAATGCTCAAGAGTCAAGATACCATCTCCTTCTCACACAACTAGCTAAAAATCGATTAGGGTTCTTCACAGTGCTCAAGGGTGATGAGGGAGACGGAAATAAGGGCTTAAGGCCCTTTAAATAGGACTCAACCCCAAAAAATTAGGGTTTCCTCACACAGCGCCAACTCGGCCAGTTCGACTCTACTCGACGAGTTAGGCACACAACTCGTCGAGTCACTCAGTAAACCCCAAAAATAAATATATAAATATTATACCTAGGAGTTAGGACGTTACACTTAGTGTCTAAGTCTAGAAGATCATGGGATGATGTGACTTCCAATGGGATGCTTGAGAATGAAGTGGCAATTACATCAAGACTGCAAGTTACCACCTCTTCTTGATCCTCATTGTCTCCAGTGAAGAGACTTGGATCACATTGTAACAACTCTAGTTTAGTATTGAGACCCATGATTTCCTTGTTCATTTCTTCATAACCAAGACCATATTTTATCCATGATGGTTTTGGTCCCTTGAGAATGACATGTGATTTCTGTTCCAGAAGGGTTTTGGATGCCTTATAACTATTGATTTTTGTATTGATTTGGGCATACATCTCACGATTGTCTTTTGCAATAATGTCACTTCGATTCAATACAATTTCATATTGTTCAACTGACGTGAGATGTGCCTCAGTTTTGATTGCAAGGTCATTCCCTAACTTAGCCATATCACATCTCAATTCTTTAAGTCTGTATTAAGTATTGTTCATTTCATCTGTGTAGTAACTGACACGATATTCAGCATTGTTGACATATTCTTTGATTATTTCAGTAATGTGAGCAATGTCATCTAGAAAAGGATCAATAGTTAAGTGATTATCACGAATCATGAAGTGTACCTTCTCAACAACTTGTTGATGGAGAGGAGAAGGCTATTTGTCATAATCAATCATGAAGCAGAAGTAGTTCTTGTAGGCTTCAGTTTCTTTTGCTTGATCCACTTCATCATCTGTTTCCCAGACTTCCACATTTGGAGTTTCCATGACCATGAT